TCCAGGGACATATGGGAGAAATCTGGGTTATCTAGCATTGGAGCAAGAACTCAGGGTGGCTTTCTCTCAGGTGGGGGTGCTCACTGGGGTCATTGTTTCTATGCTGAGATCTCCCCTATCACAGAGCTGACTTGCAGCCATATCTGAGTTTCCATCAGCTTGGTTCACACTATTGGCTCCACCTGGAAATTCCCGGAGGCTACCCCTCACCCAATTTGCAACCCCACCTAAGCTGTTTGCAGTGGCTTTTCCATATGAATGGCCTGTCCTGGCTCAGGCTTCAGACATTCCTAAAACCTCTCAAACAGGCAGCAGCTGGCATCAGGGTGCCCCATATCTATGAATTAGAAGCCCAAGACCTGGCACTAGCACCGGCCTGCCTTGCTTCATAGCCTGGCCTCAGCTGGGCACTTCTAAGCCCAACACAAGTAGCAGCCATCTGCAGATAGCTCTGTAGCTCCTGCCAGGTGGCCCCAGGCAGTGGCCGACTTTGCACCTCCCAGGAGCCCCCAAAGCCACTGTACCCTAGGTGGACAGTTTCAGACCATAGCAGATTACAACTGTACACATCCACAAGCGACACACTCAAGGGGCAGACTCAGTGAGCACCAAAGCCCCACTGAAGCAAGTCCTGCTCCATAGGTGTGTCTCCCACACAGCAGCTCTTCCACTGTAGCCACAGCTGGCCCTCACAGCCAATTGGCCTGGAGGTCAATTCCTCCCAGTGATGCCAACAGCAATCAAGGCTCAACTACAACAAGTCTGTGCACACAGCCCACACAGGGGGGAACTTAGAGTGCCCAGCTTATGTGACTGGGGAGGCTAAGTCTTTGGGCCCTACAGGACACCTACTACACAAGGCCACTCTACCAATTAGCAGCTCTACCTGATACATAGAAGCAAACACAGGAAAGCAGCCAAAATGTGGAGACAAATAAACATGTCACAAATGAAAGAACAGAAGAAATCTCCAGAAAAAGAACTAAATGAAATCACAGCAAGCAAACTAAAGGATACAGAGTTCAAAACAATGATTATAAGGTTGCTCAAGGATCTTAATGAGAGCTTCAAGGACTTAGTAAGACGTTCAGGATCTTAGAATTTCAAAGATATGAAAAAGGAACAGTCAGAAATGAAGGATACACTAACTGAAATGAAAAATAATTTACAGGGAATGAACAGCAGAGTAGAGGATACTAAGAATCATATCAACGATTTGGAATATGAGGAACCAAAAAACACCCAGTCAGAAGAGTAAAAAGAAAAACAAAATCCCAAAATATGTGAAGACAGTGTAAGGAGCCTCTGGGACAACTTCAAACGTACCAACATTCACATTATGGGAGTGCCAGAAGGAAAAGAGAACAAGATATTGAAACAGCCGTGGGCAAACTATGGCCCGATCCGGCTCGTTTGAAATGAATAAAACTAAAAAAAAAAAAAAAAAAAAGACCGTACCCTTTTATGTAATGATGTTTACTTTGAATTTATATTAGTTCACACAAACACTCCATCCATGCTTTTGTTCCGGCCCTCCAGTCCAGTTTAAGAGCCCATTGTGGCCCTCGAGTCAAAAAGTTTGCCCACCCCTGTATTGAAACCTATTTGAAGCAATAATGACAGAAAACTTTCCCTACCTGGTGAAAGAAATATACTTACAAGTCCAGGAAGGGCAGCGAGTCTCAAACAAGAGGCCCATACCAAGACACATCATAATTAAAATGGCAAAGGTTAAAGATAAAGAATCTTAAAAGCAGCAAAAGAAAAGCAGTTAGTTACCTACAAGGGAGCTCCCATATGACTGTCTGCTGATTTCTCAACAGAAGAGGAGGAGGAAGAGGGGGAGGAGAAACAGGAAGAAGAGGAAGAGGAGGAAGAAGAGGAGAAGGAGGAAGAGGAAGAGGAAAAAAGAGAAAGAGGAGGAGGGAGAGGACCAGGAGGAAGAGAAGAATAAAATGGCAATAAATACATATCTATCAACAATTATACCTAAAAATCAAAATAAATGAACAAAGATTCTAATGAACAAAATAAACTGATGAATAAAATAGACAAATCTCAGTGGGAAGGGGGTGCAGGCAGGAAGAGATTAACCAAAGATCTTATATGCATACTAGGAGCCCAGTGCGCAATTCAAAATCGTGCGGTGGCGCTGCCCACCCTCCGGTCCGGCTCTGCCTCCCTCTCCAGCCCTTGGAAGCAGCTGCGGCTGCTGCTGATCAGGCCCTCCCCCAGTGCAGGTGTGCAGAGGCCCCTGCCGCCTCGCCCCTGCGCATGCAACCTCCATACTGGTCAACCCGTTATGGTGTCCTGGTTAATTAGCATATTTCTCTATTTTATATATTTAGATATACATACCTATGGACACAGACAATGAAGGCCTGGACAGGGTGGAGGGAGGCAATGGGGTGGAAAAGAGGGATATGTAATACTCTCAACAAAAAGATTTTTTTTAAAAAAGAAACTTTTATAAAGCATCTATAGATAGTTGATAAGAGTTTTATTTCTTTTATTTAAATGGACATTAATATTCATATATATTTACATCTTAAAACTCCACCTAATTTAGTGAAAACAAGGCATAGAATGGCACACTAGCAGCAGAGGTGCTTATTAACTACCAGTCATTGTTATGAAGTCATATCTATATACAACACTAAAGAAAATAAATAGACTTAACTAAAGTTAATAAGAAGCAAGTATAATTATAAATAATACCAGATTTTAAACAGGAATCTGTAAAGGTTTTACTACATAAGGATTTCACTCAAAGTAGACAAAATATATAGTAATCTCAAACTTTGAGGATACCAAATTAATTTCCTCTTAGTTGAGGCCTCTTCAACCTCAGTAACTTTTCGGAATGAAGCATAAAGTTAATGCTGTACATTTAAAAGGATTGGTCCAGTTGAGTTTTCTCTATTTTTAATTCCTCCTCTTCATTTACAGTATTGGCAGCAGCATCATTATGCAGATTATCTAGAATGTCTTCCTTAAGTTCATCTGACTTCTCCTTGTTTTGATCCTCACCCATATTAACATCTTCAACTGTCTGTGCCCTGGATGTGTTCATTAACAAGTCTGAAAGAGAAATCATTGTTACACATTATTTAAGCACCTCACCCAATCTTACCTAACACAAATTTCTTCACAAGCTTAGATCAATAGAAATGATAAATATGACCATTTTAGTTCATGTTAATTATGATTACTTCCAAATAAAGCCATTTTTATACATGTATTAAGTCCATTCAAAAATGCAAGAGGTCTTGGCCCTGGCTGGGTGGTTCAGTTGGTTAGAACATCTTCCTAATACGCCAATGTTGTGGTTCTATTACCAAGGCTGCTATCATGCACATACAAGGAACAATCAATGAATGAATAAGTAAATGGAACGACAAATCAATGTTTCTCTTTCCCTTCCTTCCTTTCTCTAAAATCAATAAATAAAAATTTTAAAAAAAATTTAATGTAAGAGGTCTTGAAAGGTACTGAACTCAATCAAACTTGAATCACTTCCAAATGCAACTGTTCTCATTCAAAATCACAACTACTAGACACGTTTTAAAAGTTCAAATGCTCTTAACAGCTGTATGTCAAAGTGATCTATAGTAAAGAAAATTTCAGGTACTTATATCTACAAGGGAAAATTTTTAAAGTCATATATTATAAATAGAAAATGAGCCTTAAAATGCTTATTGATAATGACAAGGAAGACACTGCTATCAACAATAGTTTTATCTTTATGTAATTTTTCACATGAAAATAAAACATCCATTTGTAAATTTAAAACTTAAATTCACTTTAATCATAAAAAATCATGATAATGTAGTCACAATACTTTTCACTTGAGAATTTTATTATCTTGGGTGAACCTTGTTTTATGACATGATAATCTTCACTACTTACTCTAATTCTTACTTTCCTATTTCAAAAGGAAAAACTGGATTGGAAATAGAGAATGACATGCCATTCTGCTTCATTCAAAGCCAATTTGCAATTTTATTTATCTACCTACCTATTGATTTTGATTGATTGATTTGAGGAACATCGACTGTTGTTCCACTTATTTATGCATTCATTGGTTAATTCTTATATGTGCCCTGATTGGGGATCAAACCCAGAACTTTGGCATATTGAGTCGATGCTCAAACCAACTGAGCTACCTGGCCAGGGCTGCAGTTATTTCTAAATACAGTTTTGTTTTGATTTTTACAAAAAGCGGAAGAGAGGAAGCGAGGGAGGCAGAGAAAGAAACAGAGAGAGAAACCGACCGGCTGTCTTCCCACGTGCCCCAACAGGGGCCTGGGATCGAACCTGCAACCAGGTACTTACCCTTGAGCTGGAATCAAACCCAAGACCCTTCAGTGCACAAGCCAACATCCAACCACGGAGCCATACATATCGGCTAGGGCTTAAATACAACTTTAACAAACATGGTTGTCTAGTTCCCAAACCCACAGTCTGTTTTAAAAACAGCACATTTTGCCCTGGATGGTGTGGCTCGGTTGGGTGTCGTCCCATGCACCAAAAGGTTGCTGATTCAATTCCCGGTCAGGCATGTGCCCAGATAGGGAGTATGCAGGAGACAGCCAATCGATGTTCTGCTCTCACATCAATGTTTCTCTTTCTCTCTCCTTCTCCCTTCCTCTCTCTCTAAAAATCAATAAAAATATTTTTAAAAATTAAAACAGTTCATTTCATGGCAGTTTTTCTAGAGAGAAGGGAATGTAACAGGTAATCAAACTGATAGCTCACAACAAGTGACACAAGGCAAAAAAAAATAACAAAGCATTTTAGGGCCCAGCTGGTGTGGCTCAGTGGTTGAGCATCGACTTATGAACCAGGAGGTCACGGTTCAATTCCTGGTCAGGGAACATGCCCGGATTGCGGCCTCGATTTCCAGTGAGGGATGTGCAGGAGGCAGTCAATCAATGATTCTCTTTCATCACTGATGTTTCTATCTCTCTCTCTCTCTCTCTCTCTCTTCCTCTCTGAATTCAATGAAAATATATATATTTTTAAAAATTTTTAGGATCACTTATTCATATCATAGCAAATGGCTCTAAAATCCTCACTGGGTGCAAAAAGCATTTTATATGTTTAGGAAAAGTACCATAATAATTAATGTTCATAATTATGATCCTAAAGATAAAATTATATTACATGATTTAAGGACTCAGGGAAGAATATGTTTTTGAAAGACTCAGAATCAATTTTAAATTATTAAAATAACTCTTTAAGAGGTATTCAACTATTCAGAAAACCATCTTATATCATTTATTCTTTAGAGATTCCAAATAGGTAACACACACACACACACTGTCTTTTTCTCTCAACTGTACGTAAACTTAATATACTATATCATTTTTCTATTTCTAGAGGTATTTTATTTGGAAGATAGTAGAGAAGTTAAAATTTCTAACATGCCCTTGCTATATTAATGGTAACACATAAAAACCAGCGTAACATTTACCATTTTCTAAGGACTGACTATTACTCAGTAGCTTTGCCTGTCTTCTTTCCAAGGCCAGCTGTTTATTTCTCTGAATTCTTTGTTGTTGCTCTTCAGTTAGGCTTCTACTTGACTCAGAAGCAAACGTCGCATTTTCAGATGAGTTTGTCAAAAATGGATCTAATTCAGTAGCAGTTACATCATGGTCATTATTTTCCCCTACTTCATCTGCAGTAGGAAAAAAAAAAGTGAGTACATCTCTAGTATTAAACTAGTTCGAAAAAGAGCTTATATAGCTATTAATTTAAAACCAGTTTAAAGTGACAAGGTGCAGACCAGAAGAAACAATTGGTGAGGCATGAGAATGTTACAAACATACGTTTGATTCAAACAAGTAAAAGGAATATTTATAAGTCACTTTAAAGAGGCATTTTAAGTCAAATGAAAACACTAATTTAAAAATATGCATGAATGGCCCTGAGCAGTGGTTAGAGCATCGACCTGCTGACTGAAGAGCCCAGGTTCAATTCTGGTCAAGTGCACGTACCTCAGTTGCAAGCTCAATCCCTGGCGGTAGTCGGGGTACGGTAGTCAGGGTACGTGCAGAGGGCAACCAATCGATGTGTGTCTCTCACATCAATGTTTCTCTCTGTCTCTCCCCCTCCCTTCCACTCTTTCTAAAATCAATGGAAGCCCTAGCCAGTTTGGGTCAGTGGATAGAGCACTGGCCTGTGGACTGAAGGGTCCCAGGTTCGATTCTGGTCAAAGGCATGTACCTTGGTTGCAGGCTTGATCCTTGGCCCTGGTCAGGGTGCATGCAGGAGGCAGCCAATCAATGTGTCCTCTTTCATCACTGATGTTTCTATATCTCTCTCTCCCTCTCTGAAATCAATTTAAAATAAATAAATAAAATAAATAAAAATCAATGGAAAAAATATCCTCAGATGAGGATTTAATGTATATATGAATGGAAAGCAAAAGTTCTTAGTTATGATTAGAAATATTTTATGCTTGGATTAATAAAAGAACTTAAAGAATCCAAAGAATATTCTTATTTTATGTTAAACAAAAACATTTTAATAGCTTGCCATAATACACAGTAATAATCTTATATAGGCTATTTTTAATAGGGTAAAACCCAGACACAAAACTAGGAAAAGAAATTTAGAGATCTGTGGACATAGTTCCAAGTTAATATTTTTAATTCAGTGCATTATTCTCTACATTTTTACTCTTAATAAACTCTTAAAGCCATGTACACTAGTTATTTCAAAGTATTATACCCCCAAAATAATCCACAATGTTATGGAAAGCAAATATTAAATCTTCCATTTATAATTCATTTAAGAATTATGAAAAATTAAATTTTACTAACATATTTAAAGTAAGAATGGGCAGTGATAAACTATCACTTATCCATATGACAGCTTTCCTATGGCGTAAGCTAACTTAATAAAGGCAGCTCCACATTGAGGAAGGGGAGGAGAGTTGGGCTCACTCATTTTTTTATTTCAGCATATTGTGACACACAGCTGATTCTGATTGCCCAGTTAAGTAGACTAACAGACTAATTTTAACCAAAACAACCCCAACATAATAAACAAGTGGTAGTTTAAAAAGATTTGTTTGAAAAATAAACACCTGAAAGTAGAAGATAATACAAGCACAAGCAAACTAAAAAAAATCTATATATATAAAAGCCTAAGCGACCTTTACAACCAAACGACTGGAACGACTGGTAGACCAGTCCCTATGATGCGCACTTACCACCAGGGGGCAGATGCTCAACGCAGGAGCTGCCCCCCCCCGTGGTCAGTGCATTCCCACAGCCAACCTCCCACTGCCGGCCTTGATCACTGGCCAGGCCAAGGGACCCCACCCATGCACTAATTCATGCACCGGACCTCTAGTAAAAAATAAATGGCAAAGCTGATACTTTCCCTTCTTTTTACATCATTCACATTATAGGGTTAAAACATAACCTCATCAAATCTGACAACTAGGCAAGAAAAAATTTTTTCATATCACCAAGACCATCATTAAAAAATAATAATAAAGAAAATGAAATATTAATTTACATACACCATCCTTATCTTATGTAGATACTATGCACTGAGATTAGCTGGTGATAGTAAAAACCAGCACAACTATCAAAATATTTCAAGCATGAAGACAAACCTTTACAATTATTCTAGTGAGGTGTAAAATTCATATATTTAATCCAGTCTTTTACAATTCAAACCCCTTTTGAGGTTTCTGCCTTCCTGACATGGAAAAAATTCGTGGCAAGAAACTAAAATGCATTCCTTTATCGGGAAATATTAATGGCGTACAAGTAGAAAACTTTGCTGGGGAAGTTAAGAAATGTATTAGAACCAATTGTGCAATATGTAGGGTTTCTAATATGCTTCACCTCATAGGGCTTACAAGATTCTGAATTAATAATAATGAAATCGATAAAGATCTACTTTTTGTGAGCTATAAAAGGAAAGATATCATCAACAAGAAATGGCCTCTTTAATAAAATGTTTTATGGAAAAACAATGTGAATGTAACCACTGCTGGAGCTGAGACTAGGATAAAAATGTGATTAGAAACAAATGAGAACCACACATGAAATACATTTACTGGAAGTCATAGGCAGACTATTGTGGCAAAGAAGCTAAAGCCAGAAATATTCAATGTGTTACAGGATGCTATCATGTTGGTACACATAATCTAAAAGATAAGCAAATTATTTAATAAAGGGAAACAAATGCTATTTAAAAGAACATAGGGAGGCCCTAGCCGGGTTGGCTCAGTGGATAGTCAGCCTGCAGACCAAAGGGTCCGGGGGGTTCAATTCCAGTCAAGGGCGTACCTTGGTTGCTGGCTCCTCCCCTGGCCCCGGCCCTGTTCGGGGCTCCTGCAGGAGGCAACCAATCAATGTGTTTCTCTCACATTGATACTTCTCTCTGTCTTTCCCTCTCTCTTCCACTTTCCCTAAAAATCAATGGAAAAATATCCTCAGGTGAGGATTAAAAAAGCATAGGGAGCACTAGCTGGTTTGGATCGGTGGATAGAGCATCAGCCAGCGGGCTGAAGGGTCCCAGTTCAATTCCGGTCAAGGGCACATGCTCAGGTTATGGGCTCCAACCCCCATAGGGGGTGTACAGGAGGCAGCCAATCAATGATTCTTTTCATCACTGATATTTCTATCTCTCTATCCCTCTCCCTTCCTCTTTGAGATCAATAAAAATATATATTTTAAAAAGCATAGGGGAATCAGGATTTTACCAGTGTGGTTAGGAAGACTTCACAGAGTTGACAGTTGAGCACAGTCCTGAAGATAGTGAAAAATTTGGAGGCTGGAGGACAATGTTCAAGGCAGAGTGAGAGAGTGCAAAAGCCTTAAGACAGAAATGTGCCTGGAAGGTTCAAGGAACAGCTAGGAGGCAAGTATAGTTGAAGCAGTGTAGGTAGGAAGTATAGGCAGACTATTTAGTCTATTTAATCTGCCACAACATTCTAAATCTACCAAAGCATTTAAACGCATTACTGTACTTTGTAACAGCTAGGAGGCAAGTATAGCTGAAGCAGTGTAGCTGATACAGTCAGAGAGGCAAGGGGGATGGGTTGAGGACACAGAACAGATTCTGTAGGGCCAAATTGGACATTATAAGGGCTTTTACATTGAGCAAAATAAGGAGCCACTAAAGGGATTTGAGCAGAGGAGTAACAAGACTACACATTAGTAAAAAATATTAAAGTATAACCCCTGCTTAATTTTTAAGAAAACCAATTGATTACGAAATGGTAAATGAAATTTTCTAGTAAACTTCAACAAAAAAACCTTGCATTGGTGAATGGATTTAAAAATGAACATTGAGATTTATTGAGTACAATTAATGACTTATTTCCATGTGGATTTATGTATTTTAGTAAGGTAAAAACCAAGATTTGATGGGGGGAAAAAAGTATTACCGAATAAACTCAGTGATAGATGGTGTGGGATTTAGTACTGTAATAACTAATCCCTTTCCATATATCAAATCCTATGCCATCAGTACATACCATATATTACCAAAATATTAATTAATCTTGGATTATTTAACTCACAATTTTTCACTTTTAAAAGTAATTTATAAATAACTTGGGGAATTCTATATGGAGCCTGTATTTTCCACCACATATATTAAAAGTTTAAAAAGCAAACAAACATGTATGGAGCCATCGCACAGGAAATCTGATAACTATACAGACCCTGTCGGCAGGAACCATATGTTTTGATGTGTGTGACTGCCTATGGTTGCACTGTACAGCCAACAAATGCAATCAATACCAGGAACAGTCACATAGGTCTTACTAAAGTCCTATACTCAGGATCTGTATTCTTTTTTTTGTTTTTATTGATTTCAGAGAGGAAAGGAGGAGAGTGGGACAGAAACATCAATGATGAGAGAGAATCATTGATCTGCTGCCTCTTGCACAGCCCCTACTGGGGATCAAGCCCGCAACCTGGGCATGTTTCCTGACTAGGAATCGAACTATGACCTCCTGGCTCATAGGTCAATACTCAACCACTGAACCACACCGGCTAGGCCAGGATCTGCACTCTTTTTTTTTTTTTTTTAAATATATTTTATTGATTTTTTACAGAGAGGAAGGGAGAGGGATAGAGAGTTAGAAACATCGATGAGAGAGAAACATCGATCAGCCGCCTCCTGCACGCCTCCCACTGGGGATGTGCCAGCAACGAAGGGACATGCCCTTGACCGGAATCGAACCCGGGACCCCTTAGTCTACAGGCCGACGCTCTAGCCACTGAGCCAAACCGGTTAGGGTGGGATCTGCACTCTTACGTGAAATATAAACTATTTCATCATCAAATTATTCTGCCTAATTTTCCCAGACCACTTTTTTAATGGTGTATATGTATTTTGTCATATATTTTTACTAATAAGCACTACAAAGGATCAGTGGGTCACCATCAGAGTTCTTAAAAGCTCATGTTCTATGACTAAATACATTTTTACATCTCTTAATAGCATTGCAGCCATTCCTTTAAAGAAACAAATATCATACACAACATTCTAAATCTACCAAAGCATTTAAACTCATTACTGTACTTTAATTATATTAGTATACTCAACATAGACTAAGAACCAGTCCTGTAATACTGTCCACCCAACTAAATCCATTTCTAAAAGAAAAACTGTTATAAAGTAGACAAGCCTATATTCTTACCATTATTGCTAATAAAATCTTCATGTAAAATAGGGAGATCAAGTCGAATTTGTTTTAAACAGGTCTGAAAAGAGACATTTTTACATTTTTATTAATAACATTTGGAGGAAAATGGTCATTTATTCCATTCTGAGTTTCAAAAAAGATGTTCTTTAAATAACTACTCATTTTCCTTCTCTCTACCAAGACAAATTTAAAAATTAAGACCCCAAACAGCTACTCAGCCTTAACTAAATCTTACCTCGTACTATTCAACACTGTGAATGAAACTCATAATAATCTCAACACATACCTGAACTTCCTTTTTATTTCCTAGGTATTCAACTCTGTCAATAAAATCCTCAAATTGCAGTTTAGGGAATAGCCTATGTGCCCAGTGCTCCATGTGTCTGATTAGCGTCTTCAAGTCTTCAGCCTGGCACATAAAAATAAAAATGCTAAATAGAAAACTCGTTCTCAGAACTGATCTTGTCAGCAGATTTTAGAATTGAATAGTAATGCCAAAGTCATTGGTGTCACTTTACATTTATAAGGTGAAGAAATTCTAAAAAGAAAAATATTTATTAAGGGCTTAGAGGATTGCAGTCTAAAAGAGCACTGGATACGAAATTTTTTTAATCAGAGGAAATAAAACAGATGAAAGTTTAATAGGCCCTAGCCAGTTTGGCTCAATGGATAGAGCGTCAGTCTGTGAATTGAAAGGTCCCAGGTTCGATTCCAGTCAAGGGCACATACCCGGGATGTGGGCTTGATCCCCAGTGGGGGACTTGCAGGAGGCAGCTGATCAATGATTCTCTCTCATCATGGATGTTTCTCTCTCTCTCTCCCTCTTCCTTCCTCTCTGAAATCAATAAAAATCTATTTTAAAAAAACGTTTAATAGAAGTTAAAAGATAATCACATGTGGTTTTGCAGGACAGTAAAGTAACCCTAAAAATAGGCTTTAATAAAATATATCAAGATATCTTTTAGGAATAACTCAACAAAGTGGTTGGTCCCCTAAATCATATATAGAGAAGAAAGCATTGAGAATTCAGCATTGTGAAATACATTCAGAAATCCCAAGAACAAAGTACTGAAGACCAGCAAGAATAGTTTAAACATTCTCAGACCAGAATACCTATGTTTGAAATTTCAATTTAACATTAAAAGTTTTTTATACTAAATAAAATACAAAGCTTTTTTGTTGTTGTTATCCTCACTGTGGATATTTTTCCATTGATTTTTAGAGATAATGGAAGGGAGGGAGAGAGGTTGCCTCATGGGGCCGGGGGATTAAACCTACAACCCAGGTATGTGCCCTTGTCCAAGAATTGAACCCACGACCCTTCAGTGTGCGGGCCAATGCTCTAACTCCTGAGCCACCTGGCAAGGTTGACAGTTCTTAAATGTCTCCATTTTTCAACAAAACTTAACTGATGCCTATTATAAACCAGGCATGGTGCCTTATCTTAGGGACACCTAAGTGATCAATACAGGTAAAGTCCTTGCTCTCATAAAGCTTAAAACCACTCTCTGAAGTAGACAAAGTAAATTTTATTCCTCAAAATTATAAAGTACAAAGTCAGGCTTACTGACTCATACATGATTTTACTAAACTCATACGGTGGCAAAACCAAGACATGTTTTCTGATTCTTCTAACAGTGCCCTTTCCACATCATAGTTTCTCAAAAGATACAATGATGAATGATTACATCTGTAAAACATTCTAAGATTCCTAACATGATAACAGACCCAGTTTTATAGTCAGTCAGCCCTACCTATGAGTGGGTTCTGCATACATGGATTCCACCAACTGTGAATTAAAAATATTCAGGGAAAATAAATGTTATGCTGTTGCTGACATGTGCTATGTAGTTACGCCTATGATGGTTGCTGCATCTGTATTGAACATGTACAGACATTTTTTCTTGTCATTATTCCCTAAACAATGTAATATAATAACAACTATTTACTTAACATTTACATTCTGTTAGGCATTACAAGTAATCTAGAGATAATTTAAAGTAGGTTATATGCAAATACTATGCCATTTTATATAACGGACTTGAGCATCTGTGGATTCCAGCATCCACAGGGGTCCTGGAACCAATCCCCCACAGATAGTGAGGGACAACTATATTTTAAAAAACAAAGATAAAAACCAGACATTTCTTACCTCATGACCTTTACCTTTAAATTTTGTCTTATCAAACACATGTCTTAATGCTGGAAGCCCTCTCTCTGAAATCAATCTGTGAATAGAAATATGTTTTTAAATTCCAAGTTTTCTAGAACTATCAAGGCCAAACCAAGACCATAAGAAGAAAAGATATTATCTGAACTGAAAAAAATCTATATAATAAAAGCCTAAGCCAGTGATGGCGAACCTATGACACGCGTGTCAGAGGCGACACGAGAACTCATTTTTTTGGTTGATTTTTCTTTGCTAAATGGCATTTAAATATATAAAATAAATATCAAAAACATAAGTCTTTGTTTTACTATGGTTGCAAATATCAAAAAACTTCTATGTGACACGACACCAAAGTTAAGTTAGGGTTTTTCAACAAAATGACATGCCGAGCTCAAAAGGTTCGCCATCACTGGCCTAAGCGCTTGTTATGGCGGAACGACCAAAACGACCAGTCGCTATGATGCGCACTGACCACCAGGGGGCAGACGCTCAACGCAGGAGCTGCCCCCTGGTGGTCAGTACGATGCCACAGGGGAAGTGCCACTCAGCCAGAGCGCAGCTGTGGTGGCAGGAGCCTCTCCTGACTCTGCGACAGTGCTAAGGAGCAACAAGCCAAGCGGTAAGAAGCAGTGAGCAGGTGGGCGGTAAGGAGCAAGGGGTCCTGGACCCTCCCCTCCTCCCCCCCACCCCAGTGCACGAATTTCATTCACTGGGCCTCTAATATCTTTATAAATATCTGATTTTCAAATCATCCCAACCAATAGATTGTAACATAAGGAAGAAAAGAAGATTTTTTTTTAAAAAAGTACAAATGTTTAAGGCAATAGTACATATACCTCTGAGCATCAAGCTTGGGGATATTCCTTTTAACTGTTCTCCTTGGAGGTACAGGAACAGGTGCTCCTCTTCCTGACTCTGGTGAAATATACCAAGATTTAATATTACTTAAATAATTTAAGCTTCACTTATAAAGTGTATCATTTCTAAGCTGATAGATGGATAACTGAACATAGACACTTTTTTTAGAACTCTATACAGACCGTCATCAGGTTCAGCTCCTTCATCATCTCTCTCTGGAGAAGCTGGAGGAGGGAAAGGAGGAAACGTTTCATCTTCTACATGCTCATAATCTGGTAGGTCAATCAAGCCATTCTCCTGTGGTGCCAGCATCTTTTCCTCTGTGGGGGGAAAAAGTAAACATGTTTATTCATCCAAGCAGTCTTCCTATTACACAGTTAGGATGCACCTGCAGCAAAATACATGTGCTTCAGTCAGTTAAACCATATTTCAAACTCAGACATGATGAAAAGTGGAAATGATAATAGTTATAGAAAAAAGAACTGAGCTAAAAATCAGAAGAGCCGGGTTCTAAACACTAAATAATAATACACTTTTGAACAAATCATTTTACCTCAATTGTTGAGTTTCATCTATCATAAAATGATCTGGACTTTTCAGAGGGTTTCAAACTATGATCCAAATGGGTGTGAAATATGCAGAGGACAGGAACCTCACCTGCCATTTCAAAAAAGAGAAGCTTATAACAAAAATCTGTTTACATATTAATCTTCTAGGTAAGGTTCCTTTGAAGAAAGGGAAATAATCCTCAGGTTGATAACCTGAAAGAATGCTTTTCAGTACTATCTTACTTGACCTCTCAGCAACATCTGAAACTTTGGATCAGTTCCTTTTTCTGGACAGGTGTTTCTGTTGACTTCTGAAACAGTACTCACCTGACTTTTCTCCCTTTCTGGACACTCCTCCTGGATCTTCTTTGAAGATGCATCTTCCTCTAACCTGGTCAGTAAGTATCCAAGACTCCATCCTAGGCCCTCTTCACTCATTTATACACATGGCATTACAGATAACTCACTAATTCTTTATCTCCATCCCAGGCATCAAATCTGAGCTCCAGATCCCTACTTTTCATTTTACAGCTCTTAAATTTTCAATGGTACCTGTAACTCATCATGTACAAAACTGAATTTCTAATTTTCCCAGTTCACTGCATAACATCTATCCAGCTAGGCAAGTCAGAAACCTACAAGTCATCCTTGACACTTCCTTCCGTCTACCTACATATCCTATCCATTTTACCTCCTAAATATCCCTCGAATCTGTCCATTTCTCCCTATCTCCACAATCACATCATAACATTTCTACTTGGATTACTCCATTCCTCCTATCCAATTTTGACTTTTCCAATCCATTCTCCATATTACAGCTAAGTTTAACCTATGGAAATATAAAGCTGATCGCTTTACCATGTGGCTTAAATATTTCAATGGCTTCCTTCTGTTCTTAGGATAATGATAAAACTCAGGGTCGGCATGGTTTGGCACCCTCCTACTTCTCCCGGAAAGTTTGCACCGGAAACTCGATGCCCCGCTTTGCTAACCGGCGAGAACACTGCATTTCCCAGCCCCTCCATTCTCGCCCCGTCCCGTCTCTCCCTTCATTCATTCCACAGTCACCCACGCCTTCCGTGTTAGAAGCCCGGGACAGAAGCTGGCCAGGTAAAGATGTTCCTGACACACGTTCCCTCCCACTAAAAGGCTGGGTGTAGTGAGAGGCGGTCCCCAAACATAAACAAAAAGTAAATGTGCACCCCTTGTCCCCACCGGTCTCCTCGCCCCACAGGTCGCGCCCGGTCAGGCCTCTCTTGCTCTGCAGTCCACCTCAGCCCTGTAGTCCACCCCCCTCACTCCCTCCTTGCTGCTCCCCGCACCCCGACTCTTCCGCCCGAACCCCTCGGCCGCTTCTCCCCTAAGCGACTTCACTCTCCCACCAGCCCACTCTCACCTCAAGCGGACTCAGCTCCCGGCGTGGCGCGGCTCGCAAACCGCGCTTCTCGCGAGACTCTAAGTTACCGCCGCGAAAAGAGCCCTCGGCGCTTGGCGCCAAATCTGCGCGCGGCGCGGCGCGGACGTAG